TTGATGATGACGATGATGATAATGAAAATTATAATGATAATAATAATTAATAATAATAATAATAACAATAATAATAACAATAATAATAATAATGATAATAATAATGATAATAATAATAATAATAATAGGAATAATGATACAGAAAAGGATAATTATTCTGATTATTATCAATGTCGTCATTAGCATCATTTTTATTATCATTATAATAAGAAGAATAGCAATAATTATTGTTATTATCGCTATTATTATTATTGTTGTTGTTATTATTACTATCATTATTATTATTATTATTATTATCATTACTGTTATTATTATAATTTTATCGTTATTATCATTATCATTATTATTTTTACCATTATCATTACTATTTTTATCACATTTATTATTGTCATTACTATCACCATTATCATTTGCAGTAGTATTTACTTTTTAGGTTTTTGGCCATTTTCTCTTTTCTGTCTTCTCTATCTCTCGTAAATACATAAATACATAAATATTGGGTTAGTCTTACGTAAAAACAGACGTGTGTGCACCCGTACAACCGCGCACTATCTGCATTCGTGCATGTTTGCCGGCGTGCAGATTTTAATAATAACGATAATGGTTATGATAATAACAATAACAATTATGATAATAACGAAATAATCATAATGTAAGGTATACTCCTAGCTCAATGCCAGGTACCATCCGTACAGAGGAGCCCGAATTCAAATCTCCCGTGAGGCAGGAGAGGCTTAGGGACCAGGTGAAAATTGAAATTAGGGGTCCCGCTCACTCCTCTTAAAATAAGACAGCAATACTCCTTTGAAATGTGTAACATTGCTGCTTTTATCTTTCTTAGTGTCCTTCTACTGTAGTGATGGTAGCGATAGTAGTAGCCATAGCAGTAGTGATAGCACTAGTGGTAGCACGAGCAGTAGTAGTAGCACGAGCAATAGCAGTAGTTGTGGTAGCACGAGCAATAGCAGTGGTAGTGGTAGCACGAGCAATAGCAGTAGTAGTGGTAGCACGAGCAATAGCAGTAGTAGTAGTGGTAGCACGAGCAATAGCAGTAGTAGTGGTAGCACGAGCAATAGTAGTAGTAGTGGTAGCACGAGCAATAGCAGTAGTAGTGGTAGCACGAGCAATAGCAGTAGTAGTGGTAGCACGAGCAATAGCAGTAGTAGTGGTAGCACGAGCAATAGCACGAGCAATAGCAGTAGTAGTGGTAGCACGAGCAATAGCAGTAGTAGTGGTAGCACGAGCAATAGCAGTAGTAGTGGTAGCACGAGCAATAGCAGTAGTAGTGGTAGCACGAGCAATAGCAGTAGTAGTGGTAGCACGAGCAATAGCGATAGGCAGAGAAGCGTGTGATAGAAACAGTCGGGAACAGGGGTAAAAATAACGAACAGGAAAAGTAAAAAATAAGATACCGATAGCTCAGCAAAAGTATTAAAAGGATGGTAAAAGTAGAGTAAAAGAATCAGTAAAAGAGTAAAAGTAGAGTAAAAAGTCAGTAAAGATATGGTAAAAGTTAGAGTAAAAAAAGGATCAGTTAAAGTATAGTAAAAGTGTGGGTAAGAAAAGTAAAAATAACCGTAAATAAAAGGCAAACACTTGATACATATATACACTGTTTAAAAACTTAAGAAAGACAAAATAAAAAGTAGAAAGGACTAGTACTTGAAATGAGCATCACTGGATTTAGGCTTTACGTTATTTGAGCTTCATCTATGTAAAATATGTGAATTGCCTTCAATATGCTCAACACGTCCAGCAAAAGAAAAAACCTAGGCAAGTGAACGAGAGCCAGTACAAACTTTGGTGTAGATACGCAGAGAGAGAGAGAGGGGATGTGGCACAAATGTTCCAGTTGCGTTCCCGGGAACTCGAGAACTCGTGACGTCACAACATAGTGAATCATTTTTCTTAATAAAAACAAATAAAATCAATAAATACATACAACTTAAAAATACCAAAATCATTAGTAAAAAGCCATAAAAACGTGAACTGAAAGAGTTTATGAATAAACTAAAATATACTAAAATCATAAAACAGTAAAATTAAAACGCGTGAATTTGAAAAACGTTTATTAACAAAATAAGATGAAAAAGAGATAATGATTACAAGATAAAATAATTAATTAAAAAAAAAATGTATAAAGCAGTGAATATTTAAAGGTGCAGTGTCACGCCACGAACTGAGAAATCGTAAAAATATAGATAGCCGTAAAACACGACCTTACAATAATACAAAACGATATAAAATACAAATCAGACACATGAACTAAAAATGGAAACAATAAAACAAAAAAGAATTATAATAATTAATAGAAATAAAAGCGAAAAAATAAAAGAAAACGGGATGGTGGTTGAACTATGGGAATCACGCGCAGGTGATACAGGGATGTACAGATGTGTATGGGGAGTGACAACTGGAGTGCCACGCCCCCTTTAGGTGAATGGTACATTCCACAATAACAATGTCAATAATAATAAATGAAGTAAAAATGATAACAATTATGTTCATAATATTGATAACAGTAAATATAATACTAACAATAAAAAGAAAAATGATAATGATAATACTTATAATAGGAATAATAAAAAATATAACACTAACAGAAATAACAAAAAATATATAATAATAATGATAATAATAATAATAATAATAATAATAATAATAATGGTAATAATAATGATAATAATAATGAAAATAAAAATAAAGAAAATAATAATGATAATAATGCTAATAATAATAAAGATAATAACAATATTAATAATAATTATAATAATAATGACAATAGTAATGATAGAAATAATAACAAGAACAATTATAAGGATAACGACAACAATAACAGCAACAACAACCAATAACAACAATCATCAATATTACTATTATAAGTATTACTATTATCATTATTACAATATTATCAATAAATTAACGATAATCTTAATAATAGTTGTTATCTTAATAATAATAGTAATAAAAAATAATAAATAATAATCATAATAATAATGATGATAATAATAGCAATAATAATAATGATAATAATAATCATGATGATAATGA